GTAAAATAGACATCTTTCGAAGGTTGATTTTGATGACATGATCGTGCCAATGGCGCAGATGATTGTTTAAAATGTCAGATATATGTTTGAAATTGATGAAAACTTGATTGGGTAGGCACTGGCTGACAGACATTTTCCTGAACAATTGTAATTGATGGACCATTGCCTTAGCGACAGCTGAAATGTACGTGAACATGGAGATATAACATATAATCCAGTATGATGATAATTCCCAGTGTAACGCACTCTCTATAATCTTTACAGTTGACTAATGCACAAAGCTCACATTTGAAAGTATATTAACAATACTACTACGTTAAGTGATTTCATAAGTAGTCAAATATAATCGATAGCACTTGTTCCCTGTAACTGGGAATGACTGAGTGTATTACGTATACAAAGTTCCTTCTGTAACTGTATTGTTTATGCGATTATGCAAATGTTCCGCCTGAGAATTGAGTTTACGACGTATTTTCAATATTTCAAATCAGCATTCCGTCAGGAAACTGCAGGTATAATGTGTACATCACTCAGAATGGCGATCTGGACACGCTATGCAGAGCTGTGTCCATGAATGGAGTCTGGATTCGCACATAAATCCCAGCGGTAAACGCCTAAGAACTGCATATTTTAACGTTTCTCGCACAATAGGCTGATAACGATAGTATTACTGACGAACTGCTCGAAACCCACCTCCCCAATAATTGAAGCTGATTGTTGAAGATCAAGGGTTCCCATATCTCCACTAGTCTTCATGACGTTACTTACATGTACTTGTGCAGGAAAACATTATTTTTGAGTCCCATAGCCTTGGTTATTTATATACTTGACAATTTTAATTATTTTATACTTTTAACACACGCCTCTAAATGTCTAAATAGAGTGCATGTCGATACACATTGAACAGAAGATTAATTGTCGTATCATGACCGCCAGATCGAAAAGTACATGCATTGAGAACACGAATCCAAAGTGGTATGCCAATAAAGATGCTCCTACAACATGGTGTCGGATTTCTGCTTGTACGTATGTGCATTATCACAATTAAAATATTTGAGCTTCTCAAAAATATTACCCTCATCGATCTCATGGAAACGATGAATAATGACAGATGTGTATGAATCAATCCATCGCCCATAGCTTGCAAAATAGTATTATAATAATAGTATTTTACTTGCAAAATGATTGATCATATGGACCATTATTGTCCCAAGCAGTGCGCAAATGTTGTCCTTACTTAAGTTGTTATTACGTCCACGTCAACCGTAGTTCCAGGAATAAGATGATGCATTGCCATGCAGTTGTTTTAAACCTTGACATTAAACATTTTCATTTTCTTCTTTTCAGTTGATATATATATATATATATATATATATATATATATATATCAACTGAAAAGAAGAAAATGAAAATGTATAGGTGTGTGTGTGTTTGTGTGTGTGTGTGTGTAATAATATTGATAATCATGGAATATAGAACTAAAGTTAATAAATATAGTTGTATGCCGCTTCATCCATTTGTTGTAAATATTGATGTATCCATGTACATAAACGTTCGTTATAAACCAGAATATTTTCTACTCGCAACATGCTATATCTTGTTGTCCTCCGAATTGCATTAAACGGGGGGCAGCGTTTGTCCCCTGAGCAATATGTTGTGAACGTCTTGTACTTGCATTGTACATTTTTGAGATTACATTATATTATTTCGATCAGTACCAATAATTAGTACAAATACACTTGTAAATTGCACATATTCCGTGTTGATTTTTCGTCAGATAATTATATTTTGTTTTTTGGTATAAGAGACTTATACACAACATTTAATGCATTCCGTTTAGAAATATATTCCAAAACGGATAAATATCGTTCCATTCCTTTCAATGTCGTCGAAGATGAATTTAACTTTTTACTTGTATGTTGTAAACATGATAACTTAAGGAAATGATATATGGAACAAAAATACTATGTTCCACCAAGCAAATAAACGTTTACGGCTATACGAAATCTATCTCTATTTATATACCATGCAATGTTATTGAGAAATGAATGCTTGTAACATTATAACCGCTTCCACATTGTCATGTATTCTGTTCTATGGGCCTGTGGCCGTACAGTTATATATGAATAAACTGAAATGATATATAACAGTAACAGAAAACAACACGATAAATGTGGTTTTAGATACTCACTCAAAATATGTTTTGCTCTAACTCGTCTAATCATCCCACGAAGCATCTTCGCAAACGAGATAAGGTGTGAAAACTGCGAAGACCACAAACACTGTGCAAACGTTATCAGGGACTCGTTTGAAGTTGTTTGCTATTGTAGGTTAGCCTTCCACCTGTTACACGAGATTTCGTTTACCGTAGTTACAGAAAGAGAATGACATATGTTCGATTAGTGGATGAAAACGTAGAAAAATAAATTATTATGAAAACCCTTGGACTACGTTTCACAAATACATGTAGGTAGCCTGTGGGGGCCACCCCCGGTGGAATGTGTCCCCAGCACCCCTCTGCTGGTCGTAATAGGCGACCTGTTTTCCATGGGTTGCGTTTCAGTGTCGGCAGAGGAAGGGAGTCTGGTGGTTGAGGGCGACGGCAATGGTGTTAAAAAAAGTCCCTTTGTCCAACCGACCACTTTGACTGTTACTTTGCCAAGACGGGTGGTAGGATGTGCCCGGTCCATGTGCGTCAATATCTTGTCAAAATGTTGAAATAATTTGTTTTAGTCTTGGCCAAATGATGTTTTAAATTCAAATGTGCTCCGTGGTGGGCAGTAGACAGGTTTGCTGAACCACAATGAATACAACCATGGGGGAACAACCCCCCCCCCCCCCCCACCACCCACCCCCCCAAAAAAGCAACAACAAACAAACAAAACAAAACAAAAAGGAAAATAACAACAACAAACGTTACTGAATATATTTGATGAATTATAAATAAAGGGCCGTGCCTGCATTATATAGCCTGCAAGAATCGTCACTGTAAACTAATAGAGGATTAATTTCAATTATAGAGAATATTCAACTGCTAAGTATATGATAAAGTGTTGAAGTAGCATTAGATATGTTTTCAATTAACTGTATAATGTACCTTGCTGTCTTTGAGAGAGTCAGTGTCTGTAGAGCTGGCTTGGTCGAATTGGTATTCACTCCCTGGGACACAAATATTGGTTACTAGCATTGTAATGTGAGCAGCCGGAAGCGTAAATAATATGTAAAATATGCTAATCGAGGAAGTGCATTATTATACTGGATGACAAACTTAGTAATCCTTTCACACTAATCCTTGTTTACAATAAACGCATGTCAATTGACTAAACAAACATCCTTAAGTAGAAATATCACAATGGACATAGCGAAAGACTGACGCTGTCTTAACTAAATCGGGGTTAGAAAAGCACTGTTTGTATAACGAGAGGCTGTCGCTGTCTAAACTAGAATAACCAATAAGCGGAATAACAAGAGAGTAGCCTTTTCGCGATTGTCACGATCATTGCAAAATATAAATAGATAAAAAATCCATTAATTTAAAATTGTACAAGGAAACATATACTCGTACATGGGAAACACTTTGTTGGAATAAATTCCTATTATATTACGTTCAAGACATTAGTTCTGGTGTTTTCAAAGTAAAATGTAATATTTATGTTTCTGTTATTTCATGTAATGTTGATTCTAAATATAAAATATTGGTATAAAATATTTTTAGCACACTATGTGCTTTTATTTGTACTTGAGATATTTGGTGTCCCATAGGCCATATTGGCCGGATGATATACAACAATTGTTTTTAACTGTTTGTCCTTATGTATGTATATCATGCGACACCTTAATAAAATATTTTCTTCTTCAATAAAATATTGGTTGATATTGTTTGACAAACAGTTGTATACTATACAAACAGTGCTTTTCTAACCCCGACCTAGTTAAAACAGCGGCATCCTTTCGCTATACAAACAGTGCTTTTCTAATCCCAATTTAATCAAAACAGCGGCAGCTTTTCGTTATACAAACAGTGCTTTTCTGGTCTCCTCCCGTTAGTAAGACAGCCCAGTTGTGAGACACCTTAAAACAACAATGTCATACCTGGTTGCACATGTTAATCAGGTACTTAACCCCTATCATGAAAATGGACACCACCACACACCAGTTTGTTTACTTCCGGCATAATGATCGGACGCCATTTTGTCGCATCTTAACTATCAACGCCTTCCAACCCAATATCGGGATATCGAACAGTTTTAAAACCAAGGGATTTCGAACCTAAACTCCCCAAAGGCTCCCTAGCGAACGCCACGCTCGCCCCCCGGCCAAGCCGGCTACTGGGCTAGGACTTCTACTCGGCTCTCAGCCCTCAAATCATACCATTTCAACAGCAAAGTGCATCTTTTCACCGATAAGTATCTATACCTTATCCCCTCCTCCCTTTACTGCATGCTTATTTTCACCCTATTATCTGCATTTCTGAATTTCTTTTGTTATTACTATACTACACTTCCCCAGACTACATATCGCCATCACCCCCTCCCACAACCCCCATCCCGTACCACCTACAACATGGACTCCCCCCCTTGTCCATCCCCCCATTCCACCTCCCTCTTCACCACACCCATAAACAGCAAACAACACTTTCCAGGTCTCACCCCAACACACACCACAAACCCAATCCCCTTTGATTTCGGCCTCGACCTGGAAGAACTAAACCTTATCCTCCCCCCACCCCCGTCAGGTACATCCCCCTCTCCCCCCACCCCAAACCCTACCACTACAAATCACCAACCCCCCTCCCACCAACACATTGAACCCCATATTATAATTCAACAACCCCAAACCCCAAGCCAGGCCATACAACCCCCATCAGATAACAGACATCCATCACCCAAACAAACAAAACGCCCCTCTCATTCACCCCCTGAAATAGAACAAACTACCAAAAAATCCTGCTCCCAACAACCCCCCCCCACAAACAACTACACTATCCAAACACATTCTACTCGCATTCTCTACAACATCCACACCCTTAAACGACACTTTCTCGACCAACAAATTCGCCCTCTGCCTGCACAAAGCAAACATTACATACAAATACATAAACAAATGCGGCAGGGGATACAAACTTACATTTCCCAACCATGAAACACTCATACATGCCAGCAAACAACCAATCATAGACGGACTCAACATCACATGGCAGGTGCCTAAATGGTTTACACAAATACAAGGGGTCATTTACATAGATTACAGGGATACACTAGAAGACATCCAAGATTACATCAACATGGCAAACAAACTTCACACCCAACCAAAGATCATACATTTCAAAAGCATAAACAACCGTACACCCATCCCGGGCAGGACAACAACCCAAACAATATTTCTTACATTTAAAACAACTGAACTCCCCACACACATTACTTTCGGCACACTTACATTCAAAGTAAACCCAGTTAGAACCCCCCCCCCCCCCCCCCCCAATGCTCCATATGCCATTCATTCACCCACCCAACATCCACATGTAGACAGCCACCCATGTGCCAAAAGTGCGGCTCATACAGACATGAAGCCACAGAATGCACATGGGCCGCCTATTGCATACACTGTAAGACAGAGGGACACACAGCTACCCAAAACACCTGCCCGATCAAACAGTCACACATCCTTAAGCTCAACAAACATATTACTAAAGCCCAATTACCCAAACCAGCTACAATTCCCATATACAATTCCATCCCCGACTTCATCCACCTTGACTCTACAACTGACTCACTGTCTAGCTCCCTCCCAGAAACCCTACCCCCCCCCCCCCCCCCGCCCCGCCCCCAAGGGAGAAAACGAAAACAACTCTTCAGGAATGACAACCCCTCCCAAGCACCACCACCCTCTCTACTACCCACCCCCGCCCCCACATCCTCCCTCTCCCCACCCCCCTCCTCTACCCCCCTCCCCCAACCATACCCACACCCTTCCCACAGGCTCCAACCCCAAACAGCTCCCAAATTGGCTCTGTTACCCATCCCCCAACCCCACCTGCTCCCAGCCCCCCACCAACCCCTCCTCACAATCCCTCCTGTCCCGCCCCCCCCCCCCCTAAACCCCCCATCCCGGCCCTCCTCTCCACTCAAACAGCCCCCCCCCCCCCTCTGTCCCATCCCCTCCCATACAGCCCCAACCAGACCTGTCCCTTCCCAAACCCCTCTACCCAGCTAGATCAGCCATTCCAATCCCATCAAACCAACCCCAACACAAAAACAAGCAAATCAACTACAGGATCAACACAACACGGAAACAACTACTCTCCCACAAACTCCAAACACTCAAAACAACCCCTCAAGTTATAGTCACACCCAAAAAACTTCACTCAAATACGCACAAAATCATAGAATTCATATCAGCAGCCATTCTCCTCAGAAACCCCACCACCAAGAAACTCCACTCCCTAGCCCACCAAGCAAACATATATCAAAAAACCCTACAACAATTCCAGGCAGCCTTAAGGACCCTTAAATGAAACCCTGTCCACATTATTCTAAATTAGCCCCGGAACACCATCCATTTAACCTCCCCCTTATTCTAAAACCAACTAATGGTGTTCATACAGTGGAATTGCAACGGGATCGCCACCAATGGGCATGAGCTTAAGGCCCTCATCGCCCTTCAAAAAATTTCTCCACTATTAATCGCAGTCCAAGAAACTAAACTATCCCCCAAAAGGACCTTCAAAATTCCAGGCTATGTTCTCATTCGAAAAGATAGACCCCAACCCACTAACTGCCCAGGACCACCACATGGCGGCCTGGGCATCTTCATCAAAAACCATCTTGACTATGACATAATAGATATTCCTACTCCAAATCTGGAATGCCTGGCCATCAAAACAACTATACACCAAACTAAAATCAGTATTATAAATGTCTATCATAGCAAAATAACACCCCTCTCGGCTGAAGACCTTAATGTCTTATCAAAATTCATTGAACCTAACACCATTTTTCTAGGCGATTTCAATGCTCATCATCCACTGTGGGGCACAAAAAACTATACAGATAGATTCGGTAAAATAATTCAAGAATGGTCAGAATCAAACAACCTTATTTGCCTAAATGATAACCAACCTACTAGATACCCCACAAGCCACCTACATTCCCCCTCAGCACTCGACCTTACCTTCACTACCCCCCATCTCCATCCTAAACTCTGCTGGGAGGCCCATTCGGACACCTGGGGCAGTGACCACACGCCCATCAAAATTTCACTATGCCTACCCACCCCAACCCCACCCCTACCCCAATCCCAAACTGCTACCCCATTAGACAACTCCTCCCAGCAACCCAAGTTCAATCTTAAAAAGGCTGACTGGAAAACATTCCACACACTCTGCAATCAAATAAACATACAAAATATACACAACATTGACAACGACATCTTCAATACAAACTTCACAAATAAAATTCACAATATAGCCCTCCAATGCATCCCAACAGTTAAAACTTCACCGCACCATATCACTGTCCCCTGGTGGAGCTCAGAAATAGATAATTCTAGAAAACTTAGAAAAAAGGCACTTAATAAAGCCAAGCGGGACATAACCAAACTCCCCTTGGCAAAACAGTTCAGAAACTCAACTAAACAACTTATAAGAGCAGCCAAAAAAAACATTGGCAAACTTTTACCAGTTCCTTGAAAATGGGGAAACAAAATACCAAAATTTTATGGAAAAAACTTAAAGCCATAAAGGGCACTTCAAAAACCTTCTCAGCCCCATCCTTCCCTAATCTAAATACAGACAGAGAAAAGGCTAACGCCATGGCTGCTCACTTTTCGGCCACTAGCAGCTCCGCCAACCACACCCCCATCATGCAAGACACTATTAAAAACCACCCCACTTATTCTCCCAGACCACCCCTCACAAGCATGTCATACAATAAAACAATAAACATACATGAATTACAAACAGCCATCAATAACAAAAATACAGCCCCAGCCACAGGCACAGACAACATTAGCTATACTATCCTTAACCACCTTCCCCCTAAAATTCAAAAACTTCTTCTTCAATTATTCAATCAAATTTGGACCTCAGGCTCCCTCCCCCATGCATGGAAAACAGCTTTGGTAGTACCGGTTCTCAAACCAGGCAAACCCCCCAAAGAACCGGATTCCTACCGCCCTATCTCGTTAACCTCCCATATTTGTAAAATAATGGAATCCGTCATAAACAATAGACTAAAATTCCAAATTTCATCCCAAAAACTACTTAATGAGGACCAGAGTGGCTTTATGTCAAACCGACAAACTTTAGACCACGTTTTACATTTAGAACATGACGTTAAAACAGCACTCGCCCAAAAACAATATACTGTGGCCATTTTCATAGACTTTAGTAAAGCATTTGATATGGTTTGGCATCATGGCCTAATCCAAAAACTTAAAGCAAAAGCCATAGATGGTAGAATTCTAAATTTCATACACTCTTTCCTAACAGACAGAAACATCACAGTTAAAACCAACAACACCCTATCTGACCCACATCCTTTAGACAACGGTACCCCACAGGGTAGTATAATCTCTCCAACACTTTTTAATTTTATGATTGACGACATTTTCCCACCTAAAATTAAAAAAACAACTACTGCAAAATTCGCAGATGACATTTCCTTCTGGACGTCGTCAACATCTATAAAAGAGATCCAAAAAAGAATTCAACCCCTTCTGAAACACATAGAACTCTGGGCAACCCAGTGGGGATTCCAAATTAATACTAATAAAACCATCGGCCTACTTTTCAAAAATAGACATATGCCAAATTGTACACCCAAACTCACCCTTAACGATCAAACCATTTCATTCAAAAAGGAAGCCAAATTTCTGGGAATTACTTTTGACCAGCACCTAACATGGGCTTCCCATATTCATAATTTGGTCACATCATGTCAAAAAGACCTAAATTTAATGAGAGCCATCAGCGGCACTGATTGGGGCGCTGACAAACAAACATTGCTTAATATATACAAGTCACTAATTCAATCTAAGATTGACTATGCTGCCCCGGTCCTCAACTCCATCTCAGAAACACTCAATAACAAACTAAATTCCATCCAATATAAAGCTCTAAAGATAGCCCTGGGTACCAGAACCGGTACAGCCCTAAATACCCTTCAGCTTCTATCAGGAACCACCTCCATTCAACTCCGCCGCAATCAAACCATTCTCAATTGCTGGGCTGGGGCCCAACAAAACCCCATCCTAAAACAAATCATCACTAAATACAACAATCTTAGACCTGCAACCTTAAAGAAATTCAAAAACAATCATACCCTAGCCCCCTATCTTACACATCTCTACAAACTCTTAAGAACACATCAGTTAGAAAACATTAAACACATAAGCCCCCAAAACATATACATAAATGACAACCCCCCCCCTGAAACAGACCTCTCACTCCACAAAACATTCATCTCACATCCTGACCCTAAAAATCTTGATAAAAAAGAAATATCTAATAACTACATACATCAAAACTGGCCCAACCACACCCATATCTATACTGATGCATCACAGACAAATAATGACATAACAGGACTCGGCATACAGATCACACAACCTACACCAATCACCACAAACTTCCACTATACCAACTACACACATACCACCACAGCTGAATTACTGGCTATACAATGTGCATATCACTATATAAAAATATCCAATGACACTAACTTCCTTATAATTTCAGACTCATTAGGTACACTAACCCAAATTCATAATAAACAATCGAAATCAAGGCAAGACATTATAAACAATATCATAGACATCCACACAAAACTCATACAATCAAATAAAACAAGAACTCTCCTATGGGCACCTGCACACACTGGCATAACAGGTAACCAATTAGCAGACACAGCAGCAAAATTAGCCACCACCCAACCATCACCAAGTATTGATTTCACCACCAGTAAAGCCGAGATAAAATCATTAATCAAAAGAAACACATTATCTCAAAATTTCAAAATTAATATTCAAAATTGTAAGTCAATCTTGACAAAATCCCTCTTTAACAAACCAGTCACTAAGTGTCGGAACTTCACAAAGTCCATTTTAGCAGATAAAGTCATTAATAGAATGTTAAGCGGCCAAACTAATCTAAACGAAACACTCTACAAACAAAACAGACACCCACATCCAAACTGCATTCACTGCAATACACCTGAAACACTAGACCATATACTCAACCACTGCTCACAATATAAACAACAACAAACACAACTTTACAACTCTCTCCCCCCACAGCTCAAAAACAACATCCAACTCCTTCTAGATCCCTTCAACCATACCACTAAATTTTCCCATATAGCTACATTCCTTAAAACTACAAATCTAATAAGCAAACTTTAGGAAAATCCCAACAAAGTACAGCATAAACGCTATGTCTAAAACCCACACATTTACAATTTAGGATCGGGATCCAAATTCTCATCGCGGACCGACTTCTCCGACGTCCGCGCGACAAATTCGCCCATATCCATACTCTAATAAACATGACCGTTCAACCAGCCACCAACCCAAGCTCAGCTCCCACGCGCACGGCCTATACCCACCCCCCCCCCCCCCCCCCCCCCCCTCTCCTGACTCCCTACCCCAGCCAGTAAGTCCAAACTTTTTATGATAGGTTTTTCACCTTCCCCACTGTTATTTTTCATTTATAATACATATTATTATTTAGCATATCAGCTTAACTGATTATATATTATATCAAGTCTCTGCACTAGTTACTTCCCTTAGATTAGGTTTCTCTCAGCTCTACATTACTACTGCTAAACTTCTTTCCCCTTCACACCCCTTTACTATATTTCTTTCTTCTTTAACCCCCCTAAACTTACATTTTTTTGGGCCAGCCGATTACTTATGTATTACCCACTATTATTTATTATTGTTAAACCCGTCTGGCCCCGACTGCGAAATAGCCAACGGCTGAAGCGGTCGTAAAATCTACAATACTACTACTGGACTTGTCGTCAGTTGTCTCACAGGTCCCGTACTGTACACAACCCTCCGCGCCTACCAAGCTCGGTTCGCTCACCAGCTTAAACTGCACGGCTGTCAATCACCCAGGCCCCTGGGACTGACAAATATGAACTTGGAAATGGAGATGGCGGACTTATGTCCAGAAATTACAATTGTTGAGAGTTCGCCCAACTCTCAAGAGAACCAGCCCAGTTCTCGAAAGGGTCAGCCCAACCCAAATGAAGGGAATCCCTTCACTCTGGTCACGAGAAAAACTGCCAAAAAAACAGCCAACTTGACTTATAGTCAAGCCGCGCTAAATGTCCCTGACCGTTTTCAGGATAGATTCACGTTCTCAGGAACTAAAAACAAAGAAAATATTGATTATAGTGCCCTATGGGCTCAAGGCATGCTTAAACGCAAACAGCCTCAATCTAGCCCACCTAAGGCTAAAATGGTACAGAAACGACAAAAAATGGTCTCATCAGAATCAAAGACACAACAAAATAGAAGACCACAAACCAAATGGGAAAAAGTAGTCTTTAGCGCAGACTTCTCCCAAGATCTTAATAAGATCCTAACAGCTCAAGATATTGCCAAAGAGCTGAAGCACAAAAATATTATTCGAATAAATAAGTGTGGAAGAGGGTATGTTGTTGTCGGGGACAACCTCACAGAGTCAATTGATATGCCCAAAAGCATAAACGGGATCAAACTAAAATGGGATACCCCAAAGTGGCTTAGCAATGTCAGATGTGCGGTACATCTAGACAAAAAAATTAATGACGACGAGCTTTATCAAATTGTCTGTCAAGCCCAAAAGAAAGTCACTCAACCTACAATCCTGTCGGCATTCAGGATCAAATCAATGGGCACAAACAACACACGAGTAGTAATACTCACATTACTTGGACAGTCAGTCCCCGGCCACCTTAATCTAGGTGGCAGGACATAGAAACCATGCCATACAGGAAAAGGCCAACCCAGTGCACAAACTGTATGCTCTATGGACATACAAAAACATCATGTAACCAGCCACCCAAGTGCAAAAACTGTTCCCGAGTTTCTTGCAAAGAAAACTGCAACACATGGTGCACAAACTGCAGGAAAGAAGGTCACTCATCCTTGGCGCCGAAATGTCCTAAACGCTTGCTCATCAGCAAACGTATAAATAAAATACCTACTCAGCAATCTGAATCCAAATCTATTCAACCCACTGAGGTCGAAAAAACCCAAGCGACTACTGATCACTCTACTGAGCAAACAATGGAATCTGTGAGCACTGAGCAAACAATCGAAACTGTGAGCACTGATCCGCCTACTCACAGGCACAAAGCCACTGCAAAACGCAAGGGAAAAAAGACCCAAGCTTCCCAATCAAACCCCATGCCTTCTAATCCTCAAACTGAGGAACACAGCAAACGAATCAGTCAGGCAAAGAAAACACCAGCTCATGGTACACAAAAGGCTCAGAACACAAACAAAGTTGTAGAGTTCATTGCCACGGCATTGATCCAAATTACAAGCAGAAAAATGAGTGTCAAAGCCAAAGCCACCTGCATCCTCAAACTGGCTTCCAAAATAATGAAATACAAAGGAACAAAGAAACAGTTCCTAAATAGGGTATGCCCTAAAACTCAATAAGCGCTCATCTATAAATTATCATGGACTTGCTTTTACTACAGTGGAACGCAAATGGCCTTAAGAGCCACGGCAATGAACTGACTGCACTCGTCAAAAAAAAGGTGATCAAGCCTCATGTCATTCTAATACAGGAGACTAAACTCAGTGAAAAAGCCAAATTCACACTACCTGGGTATACCCAATATAGAAAAGACAGAAAAAGACTTAT